CTCTCATCTTTTTAAGTGGGAGAACTTGCACAATTGGTGGCTGACTAAATACTTTTTTCCCCACACGCACACACACACACACACACACACACACACACACACACACACACGCTCTCTCTCTCACACACACTCTCTCTCACACTCACACACAAGACGCAGCTGGTAAAAGATGTTAATATATGAAAGTGTTTGGACTCATGTAAACTAACAGTTATAAAAATTCATCTGTATTTTGAGATGAAGCTATTTTTATATTTCAGAGAGATGTTCATGTTTCTGTTCATGGCACTTTCACCACCATTAGAGCCCAAAACAATGAAAACACCAGATAAACACTGCAATGCATTTATACAGACGAACATTCTCATTAAATACGGCAGCGCTGTGTTTGTTCTTTAAACATCACAGTTTATATCGCTCCATTTATACTGCATAAATACATTCACATCCCATCAACATTCATCCTGAGGAGTTGTGATTTCAGTTTGAGACATTCCCTTCTCATTTCTACAATTCAGTGAGAAAATAATAGCAGTTGCCTTGCTTCATTTTGACTCTTTTTTTGATGCATGCGATTGATCCATCAGTTCTAAGAAATACTATGTTTGTCTTCATAATCTTCCATCCAAATGTCCCAAGGATTTTCCGTCCCGTCATCAATCCGCCCTCACATTGAGACGCTTTCAGCATGCAGTCAGTTGGGAGTAATTCTGGTAAACACACGACGAGTCGATGCTTTAACGTGGGAGTCTGACTGCATTTCGTTTCTCATAATCGCTCGGCGCTCTAATGCGATCGTGTCCATGTGTTGCTGTGTGTTATTTATGATATTTATGTGTCGCTGTCTCTGAGTTCATGACCGCAGTGAACCGTCTGTGTTCTGGATCGCTGTGCTGCAAACACACACACAGAGTTTGCAGGAGTTTATCATTTGCTGCTAGAAATCGGAGATGTTATATGATTAAACATGTATATTGTTCCTTTCTATGGAGTGGCGTGTTGTGAGATTTGTTCCTGTGGTCTTTATCTGGACACACGACGGGTGTTTATACAGCACAGAAAACACAGGCTTCTGATCCGCTTCATCAATCACTGCATATATCTGATTCTCTCTGTTTAACATTATAACGACTGCGAGAACGTTCATCTCCAGACATGTAGGTCCTCGTTCTCTGTCAAACACTAATCACCACAATGATGACTTCAAACAATGATGATTTTTTCGGTTTGGACAGAAACTGACAATCGACAGTAAAATTCTGAACACAGTGTTTTACAGTAAGACCTTTATGTTAAATCTGGTCAAATACTGGAATTTTTAGGATCGTTATCTCCGTCTCTCATTTCAAGACACACCCTCTTTATACTTGTACAATGAAATCATTTACAATCTAATCAATATTTAATCATTTATTTTTTTTATTTCACTTTCTCACACACACACTCTCTCTCTGCTCACACACACACACTCACACCCACACTCAGTTTCTTGCACACACACGCACTCTCTCTCTCTCTCTTTATCACACACATACACACAACTCTTACACACACACTCTCTATCACACACACTCTTAACACACACTCTCTCTCTGCTCACACACACACACTCTAACACATACACATACACACACACTCTCTATCACACACACTCTTAACACACACTCTCTCTCTGCTCACACACACACACTCTAACACATACACATACACACACACTCTCTATCACACACACTCTTAACACACACTCTCTCTCTGCTCACACACACACACTCTAACACATACACATACACACACACTCTCTATCACACACACTCTTAACACACACTCTCTCTCTGCTCACACACACACACTCTAACACATACACATACACACACACTCTCTATCACACACACTCTTAACACACACTCTCTCTCTCTCTCTCTCTTTATCACACACACACACTCTAACACACCCTAACCCTAACCCTAACCCTAACCCTAACCCTAACCCTAACATACAGCACAGAAAACACAGGCTTCTGATCCGCTTCATCAATCACTGCATATATCTGATTCTCTCTGTTTAACATTATAACGACTGCGAGAACGTTCATCTCCAGACATGTAGGTCCTCGTTCTCTGTCAAACACTAATCACCACAATGATGACTTCAAACAATGATGATTTTTTCGGTTTGGACAGAAACTGACAATCGACAGTAAAATTCTGAACACAGTGTTTTACAGTAAGACCTTTATGTTAAATCTGGTCAAATACTGGAATTTTTAGGATCGTTATCTCCGTCTCTCATTTCAAGACACACCCTCTTTATACTTGTACAATGAAATCATTTACAATCTAATCAATATTTAATCATTTATTTTTTTTATTTCACTTTCTCACACACACACTCTCTCTCTGCTCACACACACACACTCACACCCACACTCAGTTTCTTGCACACACACGCACTCTTTCTCTCTCTCTCTTTATCACACACACACACACAACTCTAACACACA